TATGTCCGAGTGAGGTGCTCCTTTGCTGTGAAAACAAGTTGTGCCCTTTCATTGGTATGATGTTGCATTTGCTCAGGTCTAGAGGAGTGTGATTTAAAGATATTCAAACAACTATTGCACCCGAAGTGAAAAGCGGACCCTTGATTGGCTTACTGCAGACTCTCAGGCTCCAGACCCCAAGTCTCTGGCTGCGGGGGTAGGGGGTCATGTCCCTCTGGCGGGGACAAGGGGTTGGGAGGGTTTTCTGTAGTCCTCAAAACCTGTGGGTGGTCCCTGCCCTGAAGGCCTGGTTTTAATCACTGTCCAGGAAAGTCACAGCCTGACCTTAACATATGAATGGAAGGAAGAGAGAAAATCTGACTTGCAGGGTCCTTGAGCCAGATCCTGACCCTCCAGGACCCCTGGCAGTTTGTTTTGAATCCTTAAATTAACAAGTAGGGTTTACCTGAGCAAACACACATGGGCAGGGAGGTAAACTTTAGTGCCTCTCCGGGGAGGCTCATGAGGCCCTCTCGGGGGAGTCTCCCGCGAAGGGCCAGGAGGCAGCCGGCGCCAACACCCAGAGGTCCCCCCAACAGGCGCGCCCCCGCCGCTGCGCTGCTGCAGGAATGGCGGCACCTGCGTCCTGGGCAGCTTCTGCGTATGCCCCGCCCACTTCACCGGCCGTTACTGCGAGCACGACCAGAGGCAGAGGTGCGCGCCTGCGGGAGCGGGCTGAGAGTTGGGCGTGGGGGAGAAGCGGGGCTTGACCTTGTGGAGGGGAGCGGGCGCGGCGGGGGACGCCGGGGTAGAGGTTGGAGGAGGAGAGTGGATGGGCGCAGGCGCTGAGCACGCGCGGGGCGGGGCGTGGAGGGGAGCGGACACGAAGGGCGGGGGGCCGGGCGGGGCGATCCCGCTGATGGTGCCTCTCTGTCCGCTCAGGGAATGCGGCACCCTGATGCACGGAGCCTGGACCTTCCACCGCTGCCGCCTTTGCAGGTGTGTGTTCGCAGCTCTGCACTGTCTCCCCCAGCCGACTCCCGGCAGCTGCGGTAAGAGGATCGCGTCCTGTGCACACAGTCCCCGCACGCCGGGCATTGCTCCTTGGTACCTTCCAGTCCACAGAGATGTAGCTGTGCTAGGCGACACAGAAATGAGAAGCTGGGTTGATTGATCACTTAGGAAAGTCACATTGGATAGCATGTTATCATTATTATTTAAAGTGATTCCTAAGTTTACTGTGCCCCGATTGCTGGGTTTAAATGTGTTTTCCAAACAGTGTCCTTTGAGTGAGCAGACTTTGGGGAGCACAGCAGCTGGTAAGCAGAGCCAGCCTGGCAGAGAGGTTGCCCACTCAATCTCCAGTGACACCACGCCAACACCGTCTCCTTAACTTTGAAATGAGGAGGGCACTGGAGCAGGACAGGGACAGGCGTGGATGGCCAGGTGCTGCCCTTTAGAGCCAACCAGGCAGTGCTCCCGGAGAAGGAAGGCACCTTGTAACCACCCTCAGACCTGCCAGGCATAGGAAAAGCCAGGAGGGTGTGGAGAACACATGGGGTGAACACTCATTTGTGAGAATTCTGAG